TGCCAATTGCTTGCTTCATACTCACTAGCAAATTGATTCAGAAATTATATTCTTTCTGATAAGGGAAGAACTTTTAACTTTTGATCTGTTCCTACTGCCTATATCATTTTAGTTTAGCAAGCTGCCATACCTTGATTAAGTGGGAAGTGCTAATGTGTATGTCAGCTGGCTAAATGAGTTTCTGAAATTCTGTAGAAACTACTTAAGGAGTCTCCTGTGATAGTAATTCTTGCTTCTTCGGTGATTCAGTGAGTTCTGTCTACTTAATGAATGTGACTAGCTAAGGAGAGCTAGACAGCACTTGATGGACTGTTACCAATGACTGCATTTACACGATAGACAAGAAGGTGATGTCTGGCATTCAGTGGACAGATCATCACCATGAGTACTTCATAGTTCTCATAAACTGCTTGAAACATAAGACAATAGAGCATTCAGCCCTGCGAGCAGGGAGCTTGGCCACAGTTGTTCTGTGTTTGCTGAGTACGCAGGCAGTGGCATGCATGAGTAACAGAAGCTTCAAGCTTACAGACCTTAAGACCTGTATGAACGCTGTCTCGCTTGGTGCTCCTTTGGGTTAACGATTCCAAGAAAGAGTCTAGATTGTAGATTATCTCTGATTGCATGGAGACTATAATAAGCTGCTGGACTGCTATGAGATTATTGTAAACATATGGATGCAGGGGAGTCAGCGGACGTAATGTGTGTGTGGATTTTCAGAGTTTCTGATAAACTACGTCCAAGGTTATTAAAGAAACTGAGTTGCTATGAGATTGGAAGAAAAGTGCTTCTGTGAATAGGAAGCTGACAAAAAGTAGGAGGCCAAAGGGTAGGGGATTAGTGATTGCTTTTCAGCTTGGAAAAATGGGCCAAGGGAGTGGTGCTGGGACCAGTTTTATTCAGTGCCTTCGTCTGTGACCTGGAAAAGGTAATGAACAGTGAAATCTCCAATTTTGTTAGTGATACTAAACTCGTTTGAGTAGCCAAATGTGCTGATGGTGGCAAAATCTCACTGCTGGGACTCTGCTAAAGGTAGGCAGGCAAAAAGGTGGCAGGATAGTCTTTGATGTAGATAAATGTAAAGCGGTTCTTCCAGGAAAAAAATAATCTAAATCACATCAGTTTTTTGTTCAGCCTTGTGTAACGGTTCACTCAAAGGTCTTTCCTGAGTCTTACTGCTAAGACTCTCCTTCTCCTAAAGTCATTGGGTCAGTCTTTGGGTGCAGCCAGTAAAATGTTGGATGTCATCAGGAAAAGAACTGAATACAAGGCATAATTTTTGCCTCTGTAAATAATGATAAGCCCACATCTTGAGTTGTGCATGCAGTTCTTGAAATGGAAAGACCAGAAGGCTGTAGTGGAGGTAAAGAAGAGGCAGAGGAAGGAAATGGAAATGATCAAGGGGGTGAAGCAGTTGCCTTAGGAGGAGAGACTAAAATGGCTAGGCCTCTTCAGTTTGAAGAGAAAGCTGAGGGGGTCATGATTTACAAAATCATGAAGGTTGTGGTAAAGGTGAATGTGGAACTGTTCCCCAAATCAAGAACTAGTGATCATTTAATGAAACTAAGAGATCTGTTAAAAATAGATGAAGTACTTCTTCATAGAGCTAGTAGTAAATTTCTGAAGCTTGTGGTCACAGGAGACTGGAGGTAGACAGCATCAGCAGGTACGAAAAGGGATAGAGAAAAAAATCCATAAAAGGTAGGCAGGAGGGAGCTTCCTTCAACTAGTAAAGAGCCCTCCGCCCCCCCCCCCCCCCCCCAATCCCTAATTATCAGGAGGAAATTTAGTGCTGATTTAGGCCTTTGGCTCGTAACTGATTGAGATGATCTCTTAATGATCTCTTAAAAAAAAAAAAAAATTCTGAGGTGCTGATGTACTCACTGTGCTCACTAATTAATTATCTATTTGTCAGTGAAGCAGATACTACAGCAAACTACTAACGTATCTAAAGTGCTTCCTGTGAATAATTCCTTCTGTGTCCTGTCTTCACTTGCGGTCTTTTAGAAGTATTTAAAATAGATGAAACTGTCATGTGCTTATCAAAAAATGCAATGTTTGAGCCTACCCATGCATGTTAATATGCATGGATTAATATGTTTCCTAGTCCATATTCCATCTGAAGCCTCAGAAACGTGTCAGATACTCTTCCCTTTAGACTCCAAATATTAAATTGGGAAGGTAGTTTGAATTTGAGCTCTTGCTTTACAAGTACTGATGCTTCTGTGACTTGGTTTCCAGCACTTGTTTAGCCTCGAGTAAAAGTTGTTAGGGTGGTCGTATGCTGACTCATAACAGGTACAAGACTTAATGGTAGCTGCGTGTCAAAAATAATTTGCTGGTGTCCCCTAATAGTAGCTGAGTGAATGTGACTCTTGAATGCCTGAAACCCAACTGTAAGGCATGACAGTCCATCTGAAAAATACTTCAGACAGCTGGAAGTCTGTCATACTAGCAGATTACAACAGCACTGAATGTGTCTGTAAGCCTGGAGAACAATGTAAAGGTGTACTGTCTAAGCCGGAGAAACCCCTGGCTTTCATCATACACATCAAACACCTGAAAAGCTTCTTTTCTTCTAGAAAACACTGAGGCTGATGTAGAAGCTGCCCCAGGTCAGAATGAAGAAAAATCCCTGCCTGCTGCACCTGTTCCTAGCCCAGTAGCACCAGCACCTGCACCATCCAGGAGAAATCCACCCGGTGGCAAGTCCAGCCTAATCCTCGGTTAAACCTTTCCCTTCCTGACTGTTTTGAACTCGTGTCTGTTTCTTTTCCCCCATGCTTGTGAACTGCACAACTTGAGCCTGACTGTACATCTCGAATTTCTTTCATTAAAAAGAAGCACTTTATGTACTCCATCATTTTTTAAGATCAAGGTTTTTTCCACTTCTGTCCTGTGTTCCCCCAGATCTACTGGAAGTGACATGAGTGTTTTCTAGTGATAGACTTGAGGGAAAGCTTTATGAGGTATAGTAATGTATTTCAAAGGAGAGTAGATTGGTTCTAAGTGTGCTTAGAGGGTTTTTGTACTGAGATTTTTAGAACCCCTTAGCTTTACAAGGGTCTAGAATCCTGGTTAAACAGGCCAGCAAACAATCAGCAAGAGCAGTCCCTTCCCCCACATGGGAGAATTGGTGATCCAAAAGACTTCATTGACTGCATGTGGTAAATGCCTTGAGCCCTGCTGTGCCATATAAAGTATAAAGTGATTAGTGTACACCATGCTGCCTTTAACAAGAAATATCTTGATACTGGACTACTATGAAGCAGGGTATGTGCCAAATAGAGGGCTGATGACCAGAGCCGCCTGTCCTAATGCTAGGAAGGGATTTGGGTATACAACAGACTTTATTCAGTAAAGGTGGAGTGGATCATATTAATAAATAAAAATTACAGGGCATTTTTTTTACAACTGACTCAATGCTGTGCATGATCATGCTGGTGCTTGACCATGAGGTGAAAATCTCATCCTTTAAAATGTGTGTTGTAACTTCACAAAGCTGGACTGTTGCTTAAAAGTAAATAATATAGAAATTTTGAAGCAGCGTTTCCTGTGTGGGTTTTATTTCATGGCTTTGGTTTTGCTTTGTTCTCATTTGTCCCTGTCTCACCCTAACCGCCTTAGCCTACTATAGGTGGAATGTAGCAAAAAGTGGGAGTTCTTACACCTGACTTGAGGGCAGCATCACATGCTGTCTTCCTTTGAAGAAGAAAGCGTCTGACTTACCTCTTCGTTTTTATCTTCTAGAACAGAGATGCATAGAATGTGACTTAAGTGTTTTACCTAAAAATTTTTTCCCCCTCAAGAAAACAGAGGAAATGGAAGTTGGCTTGGTCTCCATTCTGCTAGGGTCTTAATTTATTTTTGTGACAAGAAACTTCCATTTCCATAGAGGGGGATCTGCTGCATGTCAAACCAAAGCACTTGCATTTGTCCAGAACTTGTGTGTGCGCCAGAGCGATTGTGCTGTCTTCACCCTTCCCCAGGACCTAAAAATACTCTGGCTTTCCAAGTAAGTTTTGGAGAAGCCCTATCTCTAGGTGCTTAACCTATAAAACTGGATTTGCTCTAGTGTGCCCTTCCTCTCCTACCTCTGGGGCTGTTCTTCCCTCAGAAGATATTTAATGCTCTATGGCTACTGGGTGTACGTAAATAATGCCTACTTGTTTCTTGGCCTAGGAGGGAGGTAATTGTGTTTCCTTAGCAAGTCCCACAACCAGTGGAACTTGTTAATGCTCCTTTGCGGTTACTGAGGCTTTGGATGAGCTAAGCTGTCTTTCCATCAACTGTTGTCTTGATTGGTGCTCCAAGTCACCTTGCCACCACAAATAAGAGTCATTACAAAGAAGCCTGAGAAAGATAAAGAGGCGTTTGCTCCCTAAGGAATAAACCCAAACTCCCTGAAGAATAAGCCCTGATCCCGCCTTCCCCTGAGGATGTTGGGGAGGGGGTGGTTCCTGGGCGCGCCCCCTGCCTGGGCCGGGCCTGGGAGCCCCGCTCTAATGCATATTCAGGTGGCTGGGGCCCGCCCTCCGCC